CCTGAGCCAAGAGTGATCGTATCAAACTTATGAAATTTTAGCTCCACAAAGAATATAGTATGTCTTGACGGAGACCTCGATGCCATTTGGAAATGACTCGAATGATGATGGATCACATCCCTTCCTATAAAGTTCTTAAAGATTTGCACAAATGACTAATATTACACTAAACAAAATTGTCTAAGCTATGAAAGGACACCATAATTCAGTTATGGATAGAAATAGTTTCTAGCGTCTTTTCAAATATATGTCTAGGGCTCTTAGCTCAGTGGGAGTTCATTGACTCAGTGGGAGATAAGTGGCTCAATAAGGGCTAAGGTAGCTCGAGAAGGAGCTAACTGTTTGTTTCAAAATAAACTTTTACCCAAAGAGAATATACATGTCTCTTTGTAAGTATTCAAGTGAGACTACGGGCATTACCTCCACAACCTAATTGAGAACATAGTATTTGTTTCTCTAAGTGGTGTCTTTCTGGAAAGTAACACATTTCCAAAACGACAAGTGGGAGGAAAATGAACTCGATGACCATCGAGATTAGCAAAAAACTAGAACTGAGAATCTCCAAAGACTTTAGAAGGGCTTCATGAGAATGATTGATCAAGAATACTCAAAGGACTTTACAAGTGCCTTAAATGAGAATTCAATACTCACAAAACTTTAGAAGTGGTGGAGTAAGATCAGTATAATCAAAGGCCTTTAAAAGCACCTTGAAACTCAGTGTTTGATGCAATTACCCGGTATAGGTATAGAATTCACCAAAGGCTTGGATATAATCCTATAAATTTCTACTAAGTTATAAATAAACCTAAGATTTTCAAGCATACTATTCACCATTAGATGGTGAGGGAATAGTGTATTGTAAATTATCTACGACAAATCCAAATTCCGAATAATGGTTAGAGGCCATAAAATCTGAAATAGACTCCATGTTTGTAAATCATGTTTGGAACTTGATTCATTTGCATGAAGGGTGATAGACCCATCAATCGCAAATAAGTTTTCAAGGAGAAAACTGACAAAAGTGGAAATGCATAAGCATACAAAACTAGATTGGTTGAAAAGGATGCAATTAATTCACGGCGTTGATTTTAATAAAAACCTATTCACCAATCGGAACGCTTAAGTCTTTTCGTGATTGTTCTAGCAAAATTGTGCATATGAAATATGGCAAAATACGAAACCGTCTTCCTAAAATTGGATTTTGGAAGAGACTATGGAAATAGTCTAAGGGTTTTGTAATTCTAAATAACACTAGATTTGAAAGCAAGCTCAAGAAAGCCATTGTGGGATTAAATGAAGCTTTGCATGTAGGAATTGGAACATGTATTCTCATAAAGTCAATAAAAGGTTTAGCTTATGGAGAATCATAGAAATTCTTATAAACAAGAAGTTTAGTGGGAGCAAGAGTCAATCTTGTATGGTCCAATAAGAAGTTTATGAACTCTATTGTGAAATGACTATCAAATGCTAAATGCTTAGATTTGAAAGGATTTTCGACAATGGACCAAGCAAAAGGCGATACTTAGTATATAGTGGGAATTAAGATCTATTGGATAGACTTAATGAAATGTTTAAACGAGTAAAGGAATTTACCGTGTTAACACATGAAGGATTTGAAAAGGCTTTCGACCCATATGTATAAAACTAAGTAAATGTTTGAACTAAGTATAAGTTGGGCAAATACTAAGTCAAACAAGAAAGACTCTAATAGAGACTTTCAACCGTATCACATATCAAACAGTTTAGCAAGACTCAGTGAAACTAGATGAGCTAAAAGGTCACATGAATGGAAGATATTGGGAATAATTCTGCAATTAAAACCATCATGTATACTATGATATGGATTCATCACTCAACTTACATGCTTAGAGCATGAGAAGTATAAAATACCAATCAATCTAAATATAATTGATGAATCGTTAGATTATGATCAAGAAAAATCCAAAATACTTTGATAAGTAAAAGGGGATAAGTTCTTGACGCATGGAAACAAATGTAATTTGAGAATTGATGTGGCAAGCACATCCTTAGCAAGGATTAGATCCTTGATAAGGAAGTCGTTTATAAGCACGAGCTAGAATGCGTCGTCGCTTGAGAATGGTAACATGGACGCACATCCATGTATAATGCGCGGAAATTTAAGGTAAATTTCCATAATCACAAGTGATTAGGGTCTCCCAAATCATTATAAACCGTTTGGAATGAAATCCGAGCAAACCACCATCAGAATGTCTACTGAAATACATGTTGAGAATATTGTTGCATGGAAGGCAATAATAAGAAAGTGTTCAACGGAAAGTTCGTTGTCGAACGTGGATTAAAGGTTGTCAAGTTGAAAGATCTCAAGTCATGAAAATGAGTGGGAGCCATCACTTGGACAATAAATCCTAAATCACATATGATCCATAACACCCTCAAAATTTTATCGTCTTATTATGAAATTGTTCGATAATGAAGATGCTAAGATTTGCAAATTAATAGTAGCTAAACCTATGAATTAAGTGTACAACAACATACACCAAATTGCATGAAAGAAATTAAGCATATTAAATATGAGTGTGATTTCTATAAATGTTTTGTGAAGAGTGTTACTCTTAAAGCATTTGGGGAAAACCATTTATCATAAGATGAAACGTTTGGAAGTTTCATAGTGGAATAAAATTCTACTAATAAAATTCCACAAACTATTTAATTGTGGTTTAGAATTAAATAACGAGTCCGTTCGATTTCTAAGAATATTCAAAACAAGGTAGCAAGACCATGTCTTGGATAAAGAAACACCTGTTAAGTGAACATTGAATATTAAAATAAAAATTATCCCTAATCAAGGTCATTTAAATGATGGACGATTAATGACCATTGAGATTAGTGTGTAGTATGATTTATGGCACCGTTTCTTGTGCTACGAGGACATGATTGTCATAAATCATTTGCACATGTATTGGTTTGGAACTATACCGGATGGACCTATGAGAGTACTTTAAGAGATTTAAAACGTCATAAGTACATTTCTCATTATAGCTATCGAAACCTATTTCCTTGACCATGAGTATTGTGAAGTTCTCTTGTTTGAGTACTAGTCTCTTTGATATTGTCAAACGTCCGCCGTAACTTGGGATTATAACGGGAACACTCGGGAGATTAGGTCCTCTTAGTAAGAGAGGCTTACAGTACAAGACTGGGAATGTCCCCCTATTAACAATAGGGAATATGTCTTTGTTGTTTACAAGGCCGCGTGAAGAGTGAGACTGTGAAATGATCACTGCATTCGTTTTGAACTTTTAGAAACCATCTGCTTATTGACAATTGAACTCGGAGATCGAGAAACACTTCTGGACGTAATAAGGATGACGAAGATTCTTACCTTATAGTTCACAAAGAGACATAAAGCGACATAGGAAATGGGTTATACACTATATACACACTTGTCCGGAAGGACAAGTGGGAGATTGAAAGGAATGGTGTCCTTCCAACAAGTGTATTATTCTGATAGAGGGTTCAGAATTATCAGGAAGCTAATTCTTCAGTGAGATCAAGTGATCGGAATGCCTGGGTGGAGGCCGCTTCCGATCTGTAATATTAAAGAACAATTAGTATTACAGCTTTGTCTTTACTGAACCCTTCGGGTCGAACCCAAACGAACTGCTGATCCAAACCGACGAATCAATCCGAAGGATTTTATGAGTCACTAGAGTATTACAAACACAAACGTTGGATATCGAGCCTAAGGCATCGAGACAAAGCGTCGCAAAATCAACAAGCAACAAGTTCGAGCGTAGCCATAGCATCACAATGGCCTATCCATGTGGACGCTAGGTTAGCTCAAGCTAGCATGCACTATGCGTGCTAGTCGCACCATGTGTGCGCTAGGCGCACAAGGCAACACCATCTCTAGCACTAGGTGCTTGCGTGTGTGCGTGCCTCGCATGGCAGCACCATCGCAGCACCATGCGTGCTTGCGTGTGTGTGCGTGCCACGCATGGCAGCAGCATGCGTGCTGGCTTGCGTGCGTGCCTTCGCATGGCAGCACCAAGAAACAACAACATGTTGTGCTATCCGTGCGTGTGCGTGCATACCATCGCAGCATGCAACGAGCAGCGATGCCTCGCCCAAGCGCCCAGCAGCCAACATCATGCGTGGCTCGCTAGCAGCACGCATGTGCTAGGCGTCCTCGCTGTGCGTGCTAGCTGTGCATGCTAGCAGTGCAAGCTGGCCAGCAAGGTTGGCAGCAAGCTCACTCCCTTTGCTTAGTGCCAGTTTGTGAGAGGTGGGGACCAATGCTTGGAGCAAAGCCTTGGGGAGCAAGGCAATGTATGGTCCCCTCATGGTCATGGTCCTCACCTAACCTCTCCTCTCCTCATGCCACTTGTTGATTTGCAATTGCATTATTTTATAATTTATATTTGAATTAAATAAATTAGTGAAAAATGCAACTATCCCACATTGATCATGAAATGGGGATGCAAGTTGCCATTCCCTATAAATACCCCAAAATTGGGCATTTGGGAAACAACTTGAGTAGAACTCAAAAAGGTATCTCTATTATTGAGAAAACCTTCAAGTTCCTAAAACTCTAGTTTTATACTTGGTCAAGTCTCGACTAACCCTCGAGGCGAAGATTGTTCGGGTCGGGTCGTGGATACGAGCCGTTGGAGGCCGTCACGCTTGTGAGGCTTAATAGCTTCGAAGTAAGAGCTCGGTTTGCGAGCGAAGCACGCTTCAAGGGTATTACTTCTTTATCCCTTTTCTTAATTTTTGTTTAATTATGTTTATGCATGCTTTATTGCTTTAAGTATTGGGGCGAGTCTTGGGCGGGTTTCTCTTCCGCGTAGCGTTGGACGCTACAAAACCAAACACTTCTTCCCTTTAGGATTAAATTCAGCAAGTTTCATCGCCTGATATTCCTGCTCTGAAATGATCACTTCATTCGTTTTGATCTTTTTATTCAGAAACCCTTTAAAGGCCAAATATTCACTGGTAGCATGAGCAGAACTAAAGTGTCATCTACATATCATCATATCTCCATAGTCATCATCTTGGCATGAAGGTGAAACAATTACTCCTTCCTTAACTAGCCTCTCATACAATCTGAGCGCAATAGTAACCTCTTTAAGTCTATGTATTTCATCCTGCACAATATCCATGTTAGCACTTACCATGAAACAATTCAATTCATAGACTTCTTACTCATAGCAAACCCTAACTCTACTTCACAAGAACTAACTTTTTCATCAGGGAAATTTATGTGATTTTATCAATCTCATCCTGAATCTTATTCCTAAATATTATGCAATCGCTAGTTTTATGAGTAAAACTGTCATGCCATTTACAGTAGTTCTTTCCTTTAACCTCATCTTGTTTTATGCCTCCCTGTTAACTTAATCTTTTTATGACTTTAGAATCCAATTAAATATTTCATCACATCTTCTAATATTGAAGGTGTATTCCCTCTTTTGATCAGATCTCAAATCTTTCTTATAAGTGAACTTTTTGTTTGTTAAAGGAGGACATTTAAATGAAGGACCCTGTACAAATTCAGCTATCGCTGCCTCATACATGTCATCAACCTAATTACACTCCTCATCCATACTAGCATAATACTTATGTTTAGATATAAACTTTTCTTCTAAACATCTTTTGTAAGCCATTACAGCGCTAGATAAAATGACAAAATCAAGGAAATAATGTCCTTCAAACTTTTTCCTGAAAGGAAAGGACAAATCCTTTTGAACGATGGACACGAATTCTGACTCAGGTGTATTCAAGTGACATTTAATCTTAGCATTCTTAAATCTGTGAATGTAATCCCCTACAGGCTCTCCTTTTTCTTGCACTATCTTAGCTAAATCACTTATAGCGACCCCTGCTTCAATTCTAGTGGAATGGAGAAGATATTATGTTTGCATATCTTGCCAATTTGGAATTGAATTTGGTGGTAAGTGAGTAAACCAAGAAAAGACAGTACTAGTAAGAGAACTGGAAAACATTCTAAGCTTAAGGAATTCATTATTTGTTGCCTATCTACACTGGCAGTTGAATCTGACCAAGTGTTCCTCAGCATACATTATACTGTCGCTAGAAAAGAGAGGGGAGAATTCAAGAACTTTGAATCTCATTGGAAAAGGATATGTAGGGTTTCGTAGTGACCCTCACTACGCGGAAAGGAAACCCCCCAAGACCCGCCCCGATAACTAAAGCAATTAAGACAAGCATAAACATAATTAAGCAATAATTAAAAGAAGAGTGAAAGAAGTTATACCCTCGATGCGTGCTTTGCTCGCAAATCGAGCTCTTACATCGAAAGCTCAAGCGTCACTAGTGTGAACGCCTCCAACGGCTCGTACCCACGAACCTGACCCGAACGGTCCAAGTCCCGAAGGTTAGTCGGGACCCGACCAATAAAAACTTGGAGTTTTACGAACTTAGAGGTTTTCTCACCTAATGGGAGATGCCTCATTGAGTTCTACTCAAGTAATTCCCATATGCCCAACACTTGGGTATTTATAAGGGAATGCTACTTGATTTCCCATTCTCCCACCAATGTGGGAGAATTTGCATTTCAATCATAAAATGACAAGCAATAGATAATCAACAAGTGTCACATGGTGAGGAGAGGTTAAGTGAGGACCACATGGGGATCCATCACACCTTTCTCCCCAAGCCAAAACACCATCCCTTGGTTTCCACACAAAAACCGGACCACCTTGCCACTTGGCTGCCAAGGATGAGGTGCTGCCCAGCCACCCCACGCACATGCACAGCCAGCTAGCACAGGCTGCCAGCCAGCACATGCTGCTTCCTGGTGCGTGCTGCTGGGCGAGTGGTGTGGCGCTGCTTGCTGGCACACGCTGCTGGTGCCTGGCTTTGCTCGCTAGGCGCTGGTGCTTGACCTTGCTCACTAGGCGCTGGTGCCAGGCCTTGCTCGCTAGGCGTACACGCACATAGCACTAGCACACACAGTGACGTGCTGCTACACTAGCAACACGCAAAACACGTTGCAACGGCTGATGCTGCTTGGCTAGCACACACGCATGCACAAGCACGCATAGTGTTGCTAGCGAGGCCCAACACTTGCGTGCTGCAGCTGGCCTTGCGATGCTGCGCTAGTGCTGCTATGTGCGAGGCGCTAGCATGCTAGCACGCCTAGCGCGCCAGCGATGCTAGCCTTGCCATACCAGCTAGCTAGCCTGCGCTACTAGTAAGCTCGGTATGGGTGTGTGGCCTAGGCTAGCCTATCACTCGCATGGCTACGGCTTAGCATATACTTGTTGATTTTTCTCGTCTCGTCGAATTCTAAATTCGACTCGACTTGCGACGCTCGATCTCGACGCTCTAAGCTCGATATCCGACGTCTTTGTTCGTAAAACTCCGACGACTCATCAAATCCTTCGGATTGATTCGTCGTCTCGGATCGGTTGTTCGATTGGGTTCGACCCGAAAGGTTCAGTCAAGATTATGCTGTAATATTAATTGTACATTAATATCACCGATCGGAAGCGGCCTCCACCTAGGCATTCCGATCACTTGACCTTACTGAAGAATTAGCTTTCCGATAATTCTGAACCCTCTATCGGAATAATACACTTGTTGGAAGGACACCTTTCCTTTCAGGATACATCCTATCAATCCATTCAGGATATGGACTGCAGGTTCCCCTTCTAGCATATCCACCGTTCTAACCCATAGCCCTCTTGATCATCTCCTCCACTTGTTTGAGCAGGGCTTCTTGTCCTATTTGTGGAGGTTGACCTTGCATTGGACCATTAGGTTGTTGAACTAGTGTGTCTTGCATATGAAAGGGATTATATTGATTCCCCTGAGGATTGTGGAAAACCTTGTATCCAAATCCTGTCCCTCCTAAAGTATTAGGATTGGGTTGAGACATCACTAGATACCTATCTCCACATGGACCACTGGCCTGACCCTGGTTCCATGAGGATCCTTGTGTAAGGTGGACAGGGTTAGAGTATCCGTGTGGATAATGGTTATAACTCTCAGGTTGTGTGGATGATTGTTGACCATTCATGCCAATAGGTTAAGAGGACATCCTTTGTGCAAAAAAGGCAGCTTGTGTATGGCATGTTGGATCTGGCAGATTTCCAATACCATAGTTGCAAAACTAACACCAATCTCTGCTCCTAAAGAAGGTACGTTACCCATTGAAGAGGTTAATGGGTGTATGGTAACCGGTGGAGACAAAAAAGAGGAAGATGGACCCTGGCCATTATGGTTATAGCCTGACTCATAACTTGGCCCTGAACCATTAACTCTTCCTTGACTCCTATACCCCTCATCGGAACTAATAGGAGGGATACTTCTTAGAACTAATACAGGGCATGGATTTGCAAGAGATCTTGTCATATTCTCTACTCTAGGGTATCCTAGAGGGACGTTATCCCTTTGATTTTCTTCATTAATCCCACTACCTAAAGCGGTTAAAACATTCATCAACTTCTAATTAAGTTGGTCATGCTTCTCCACTAAAAGTTTAAGCCTTGTAACTACTTTGGTTGCTACACTTTTTGATAATGCCAAGTTATTAGTGTTGAGAGATTAATTAATATCTAGAATAATCTACCTATCTGGTAACCACTTGTTGGGTACTAGAGTCAAAGTTTTTCAACTCGATAGTTACCACTATGGAGGTATCTTCCACCATGACACGATAGTAGTTATTAATATGCTCTCTATTATATTCTTTTAGATCCTCCATTAGACTCTTCACGATTTCCACATATTTAGTGTAAGTTGTGTACAGTAAGTGTCTGGTAGGGGATTGGCTTACCATTCCTTCTAAAACCGATTCATCTTACCTTTGTGTGTGAGGCTCAAATGGTTCGAAAAAGTGTACCATGCGTTCTGTTGGCAGTTGATTCTCTAGATCTCTTTGATCCTCTAAAATAGTTTCAGGATTGTGTTCAGATGAATTAAAATCTTTCTGAGTGTTTCCTTTACATGATGAACGCTTAGAAGCCATGGGAAAAACTTCCAAATTAACAAGAGTTAAATGGATTAAATGTAGTATTCTCCCACTATAGTCGCCAAATAACTTGTTGAGGTAAATATTGCTCTTTACCAACAAGTTAAATACTCTATCTTGTTCTAGAGTATTAGGGGGTTGCCCCTCGAGTTACCGGTTTCAAAGATTGATAACCTTGCTAACGTAAAACAAACAAATAAGGAAGCTTTTCCAAAAGAAGTAAAACAAGTTAGATTGCTCATAGAAACGAGTAGATAAACATATGACAAAAGATACAAATGCATTCCATTAATGAAAGGATAGAGTCAGGTCTACAATTGTACAAGTTAAAGGAGAGGTTACCTCCATAGTTATACAATTGGAAAAGACGAACGATCTTCAATACATACTATGTGATAAACTACACTATCGCTTGGCTGCTAAGGGAAACTACGAAAGCTAAAAAGAAAGCTTAAAAGAAATGAAATACTTGTTGTTGAGTTATTTTTTGATGTCCTTCTTTCGGTCCCTGTACTTGTACTTATATGCAAAATGGAGTGGTTATGGCCGACTCCCATAATTGTTGTAAGGTTATGCTTTTTGGCGCCAACTCTACTTCGAAAATTAAAATCATCGATTAGCCTTCTAATCCGGTCTTTATATAATTGGGCCTTAGTGTGATATTATCCCAATGGTTGTTATTGATTAGGGGATTTTGCTCCCACCAATCGGAATGCGCCACGTGGGCCAATCAGGTCCTGCCAAGTGTCCCTCAGTTGGAACTGTCAGGGCTTGCCACGTGGCACCCGCTTATTTGTCCACCTTGGACCTATTATGTCATGACACGTGGCATACTCCATGCCTAATGGAGAAACCGGCCACCCAGGCCCAACTTCCGAGGGAAGCCCAATCAGCCCTAGGTTAACCTAAACCTAGGATTGGCACGTTTCCCAAGGTTATAAATACCTCCCTTAATCCTCATTAAGGGGGGATTACACAGAGATAACAGGCTGATCACGCTAACAAAGCAGATTACCTACATTAAACACTCTCACCTAGAGAGACCCAATCACTTTAATTTCCGCGTTAATTACTCCTTAATCAAGTACTAACTTGACCGTTGGAGGCGGAGCGCCCACCACCAGGAGTCTCCGTTGTTTTGCAGGTACA